AGAGTGGAAGACTTCTGGAGCAGAGAGGTGAGTGACCTCTGGAGCATGAATGAACAATCTTCAGAGAAGAGAGGAAGGAGCTAGAGAATAGAAGAGACGACCTGTGAGTGGTCTGTCTGAGGTAGAAAGAAAGAGGCTAAGGGAAGAGTCGACCTCCTCAAATGAAAAGGGGGTCTTCCCCTTTTATAGATGAGCTTGCTTAAGGGAGAAGCAAGTGTTGGTGAAAAGGACAAAAGAAATGAAGCGGGTGTCGGCGGAAGAGGACAAAGAGAAAAAGAAAAGAAAGAAAAAGACGAAAATAAAAGTGGCTACAGTGCTAAGTGGCTACAGTACTAAGTGGCTACAGTGCCAAGTGGCTACAGTGTCTTTTTGTCTTTTTTCTGTATAATGGCTACAGTGAAAGCATCTTTTCTTGTCGTGTTGTGTTGGTGATCACTGTTCCTGATGCTTTTTGTTTATTCTTTGTCGGTGATGGCGTCGGTGATGATGGAGACAGCGTCGGTGGCGATGGTGACAGCGTCGGTGGAGTCTGTGATGATGGTACAACCGGATATTTGTATGGTGATGAAATATTGGAATTTTATTAGCAATTATTTTGATTCTTTATAGAATATTCTTCAGGGTCTTTGACTGAATTCGTCTGGTTCAATCTCTTCATCTGGATTGTCTGAAGGAAGATTGAGATATTGGTTGGTGTGTAGAGGAGATGATTGTACGGTCTCCTCAGAGGAAACTGGATTTTTCCCAGCTTCAGCAAAGATTTCTCTCATTTGCTTTTCTAGTGTTTCTTTTGAGGCATTAAGGTTTGACTGAAGCATATTTCTCAGATAGGTTGGGAAATCAAATGAAGTATTGGCTGTATTCTGGCTTGGTTGTTTGTCAGGGGTTTTTTGAGGTATTCTTTTAGGTGTGAGTGTTGCAGGGTCCATATTAAATATGTCCTAGCACTTGACAGATATAGTTTTTCCAAGTCTAGGGATATAGGAATAGTCAACAGTGGTATCAACTGAGATTGAATAATCCCATTTCATTATCCATGGGATTTGGTAAAGGGCCATGAAATATAAGTGGATATCAATGGTATTATCAGCATGGTTATGTTCTTTGAACTGTTCCTGCACTGTTTTGAAAGCAGGAGGTAAAATTTGAGATGTTGAACCCCACACGAAAAACCAATTTTTAAACCAAGTGGAGAATCTTTCGAAAACAGGAAGCCGGAACTGGATGTACCAACCGTGTGTGTTATTTGGATTTTGATAATAGAGAAACTTATGCCATGCTTCAATGTATTCTGCATATTTGAAATATTTATATGAAAAATCTGGGTTATGAAGTTTCTTTTCTTACGCGGGATTGCAACCCCACTCTTCATAGGAAAGTAAGTTTTTAATTTGGACCTTTGAATATGCAATGGTCTTTGTGTTTTGTTGGTAATAATGGACAACGGAAATGGATCATGTTTCCATCAAGATGGCTTCAAAGTATTCTCTGGTTTTAACCCCATTGGAAGGGTTAAGATGATTTAACAAATATAGAGGAGCAAGTTTTATTGGCTCAGTATTAACATGTTTCTTATCGATAGTAATATCCATGAGATAGGCTCTTTCGATATACGAGGATCTGGGTATATTGGGTTGTGAAGCAGACTTAGTTTGGGCTGAAGAATATATAGGTTATATATATATATATATATATGAAAAATGATCTAATGCAACGGTTGTATCATGTTATAATGCAACCACATTTCTAGAAACCCAAGTTTGTGGTATTTGTACGATCCAAAATTTTGCACACACGCTCTCTTCATCTCAATAATCAATCCCAAAAAGTAAAAGTTCAATTTAAACCGTAGATATGGTCAAAATGAGTCCCCTCCAACAACGAATCTAGACCATTCATTGGGTGAATTTCAAGATCTTAACCTTTACAAACTCAAAATCATTTTTTTATTTTTGTAACATTGTTCATCTAATGATAATATAGTTATCTAAAAAAATTTGAAAAGAAATTTTTTTTTCTACGCCCTAGATCTAAGCATCTTATCAAAATAGACAGTCTATGTTAATTGAGCTAAAAAATGCATTCTACGTTGTGTTTTCAATTTA